ATGCAAGTTAGAGAAAGTCTTTCCCCCTAGATTCGTTGACTCAATAGAGCATTTGTCTATCCACCTTCCTTATGAAGCTAAGGTTGGAGGACTTGTTCAATATCGATAGATGTATCCATTTGAAATGTAACTGTTCCTATTTTTTCAGTGATGCATGAAATATATGATAAGTTGAATAATTAATCTTAGTTCTCACTTTTCTATACATGGCTTTCTCTATACCTCGAAACAAAAGGTGAGGAATAAATCTCAAGTTGAGACATCTATATGTAAGGCTTACATAATTGAGGAGATAATAATGTTTTGCTGGCATTACTTTAAGCCAGGTGTTCCTCCAAGAATAACAGGACCTACAAGAAATGATGATGGTGGAAAATCAGATTTTCCAGCAATTTCTATATTTAACTATCGAGGAAGACCTTCTGGGGAATGTAACTCCCATTTCATGGAGCATGAAGAAGTCAAAGCTACCACAAGATATGTGTTAATGAATTGTGATGAGGTGCAACCTTATATGAAGTAAGTGATGTTAAAATAAATGAAACCTTATATAAAATATATGGACGAGTAACATATCACTTTTTATATACAATTTTTTTCATTCAAACATTAAAGGAAGAGAACTCTCAAATTATGAACAATGAGATAGACTCCCAAATCAATGACAGATTTTTAGCATGGTTTAAACATCACGTAAGTATTAAATTCTTTTACAACCTACAACAAACATTATTTGACATAGTATTGATTGTTAATATTATGTAGGTTCAAAACCCTACTAAAATATTGTGGATTTATTTTTGCATGACATTGCTTAAGGTTCAAAGAGAAGCATGAGAACATGACTTGTGTACTTTATTAATGGGTATAAGTTTCATATAGCTTCCTTAGCCCATCAAAAATCAATGATAAATAGTAGGGTGTGTATTAAGGGAACCGATTATGTAGAATCAGAATATGAATTTTATGACATTCTTCAAGAGATTATATCGATTGAATATATGGGTTGCCCTATGAAGAGATTAGTGTTATTTAAATGTGAGTGGTTTGATCCAATACCAAATCGTGGTACAAGGGTCTATCAACAATATGGGATTGTTGAAGTTCATGAATCACGAAGATACCACAAGTATGATCCATTTATTTTTGCCCAACAAGCAAAACAAGTGGACTACATACCTTATCCTTGTTGTTGTAAAGCTAATTGGTTAGTTGTTATTAATACTAAGGCATGTAGTATAATTGAGACTCTTACATCTGAAATAATTGCAAGAGTATTTCAAGTGGATGGACTAGAAGTTATACTACCACTAATTGTTCTTGATGATGATGAATTGAATAACCAAATAGTCTTTGAGGTTTGTTATGAAGAAGTAGATGTATCAACTGATAATATGATTTATAAAGAAGAAAAATAAGATGAAGAAGAGGAGGAGGAGGAGGATATAGCATATAGTAAGGAAGATTCTTATATGGCTGAAGATGATACACACATTATAGTGATATTCCATTCTTATTGAATTGCGTATGATTTTGATTGCATTGAATTTAATTGATTTACCTTATATTGAGATTTATTTTATGATTATTTATTATTACCAACTCAAGGTTCTTGAATATGTAGATGACAAGTCGTGGTTTAAAGCGTGATAGAGCAAACTTATCACGTCATCTCCAATTATAAATGAAGAATGTAGCAGACCCTTATTGTCACCTTCATTATCTCCAATGATGACTCAATCTGATAATAGACTCTCATTATCACCTCAAGCATCATCTCCTTAGATCTCATTTTCTGGAATTGAAAACTTACGTCCCCCTACTCCACAGGCCCCTCCTACTAGTTTTTTACGATTGGGTTATGATTTGTCAAATAGTCGAACATGGATATATCCTGAAAAGAAAACGCAAGTTGTTATCAAGGTTATATTATTTCACATCTTCATTTAGTTTATTAAAGCCATTCTAACAACATTTATAATAACTTTTTTTATGAAATTGTAATTAGGTTTAATTTTGTTGCTACTATACGAAATATTTTTCTTGTTATTCAAAAAAAATTTGACCATCCATGTTTTAGTTGGAAAGCAACACCCCTTAAGTTAAGTATAGTACAATGTGGTTTGATGAATGTGTAGTAAATCTTATATCCAATTATTTATGTTTTCAATTTTTTTCTCATTATGTTTACTTTATGTTTTTTTTGTTACTTATTTATGCAACAAAAATATAAATGGTTGCCACAGTATGATGATGCCATTAAGAAAATTTGGAAGACAAAGTGTATAGAAATTTTAAGAAATACAATGCATACTATCAGGCAAGACTTGTATCAAAAACAAGTTAGGGCTAAAAGAATTCCACGTCAAGTTGTCACATCTAGTAATATGACATTTAGGAATAAAAATATTCTTAAATATTTAAGGGCCAAAACGGATAAGGAGAAATAAAAGATTTATAGTAGAAAATAATTATTATAATGTTTTAAGTCAATTATGAAAAGTTTAACTAATTAAGAAAAATTGGTCCAGAATAATTATGGAAAAATATTTTCAAGTCTCAAAAAATTAAGAAAAATAAGGATAATGTTCTTTGAGAATTATATGAGGTTATATAATTGGTTTTATGATCAAATTATCCTTAGAGAAATTACAAAGGAATTTCAGGGTGATTTAGGCTAATTTAAGGTTTTTTATTTAAAAAATTCCAAATAAATTTTTGGAAGGAGAATAAAATTTTAAAAAAATTTCTATGAAGTCCTAAGGAATTATAAGAAATTATTGGATTAAAAAGAGACCCTTCGATATCCAAGATTTTTCCTAATTATTTGGAAAAGTGAAAAAATTAATAATGAGAAGAAAAATAGTTTTATTTTTTATTTAATTAATGAAAAATTGAGTTTGAGCTAAAGAGGGAATTTTGGGAAGAGAAAAATGAGGAGGATAATTTATGGATTTGATAAAAAATAATTACAAAGGTAAGAGTACTGTAATTATAAAAAAAATTAAATTTGGAGTAAAAGTGCACCGATAAAGTGAAGATTAGAGTATTGCACTTTACTTGGCCTATAAGTTGTCACTTGTCAAGCCCTTATTAAAGAGTAATTAAATTTTCTAAGTGTCAAGCCTCAAGTGGAGGAAAGTTTGACCTTTGAAAATTAATTACAATTGGATTTATTTAATTAAGAGAGAAGTTTCAAGACTAAATAAAGAGATGACACATGACATAACAATTAATTGTGGTAGTTGAGAGGTTGAGATATTTGTTGGAGCTTTTAATGAGCTCTTCCTACCCCATTTTTGCTGATTATGGTTTAGCCAAGAGAGAGCAAGAGAGGAAAAGAGTGATCTTGAAGTGCAACCAAGGAGAAAACAATCATCTTGGATCAAGTAAGTTTGGAGTTAAAGTTAGTAATTGATTTTATGTTATTCTTTGCTTGATTCTATTGAGTTTGATGGTTGAAATTTCTGGTTCTTCCTTTTTTTATTGTGTTGGCCGAAATGAGAATGAGAAGGGAGGGAAGTTTTGGTTGCTAGATATAGTTAGAACACTTTAAATCATGATAGTTTCAAGTGGTTTGGTGTTGTTTTTGAAATATTTCATGGTTGAACTTTTTAAGGGGTATGTTTCGGCCACTTCAAGAACCCTAACCTAAGATGAGATTTTCAGTGTTTTGATACTTCCATTGTGTTCAAAATGAAAAATAGTGTAAGAAAAATATAAAAAACAAAGGTTTGAAGCATTAAAACCAAAGTTGTAATTTTTAGATATTAAACCCTATTGATTCGGTTTGTCCAAAACTGGAAGAAGGAGTTTTCTTTTTTTAAATCCAAATATATTTTGGAATCTATATAAAAAAAATTATGTAGGAATGGGTCAAGAGAGAATTTTTAAGGTTAAGGAAACAAACTCTAAAATTTAAAGAATAAAGATGAAAGCTTTAAGGGGTTAAGAGTTACTTGAGCTATGTTGTAAAATTGTTATGTGAAATGGTTGGTAATCTTGCTGCCCTTTTTGTGATTTATCATGATTAAGGTTTGTTAATTGTGGAGAAAAGGAAGAAGGTCAAAGAATCAAAGAGCACTGGATTAAGGTAGTAAGATTTAGTTAACCTTAATGTTGAGTGTTGCATTGATTGCTATGCAATTTCATGTGTTATTATGTGGTTGAGCTAAATGATGATGATGATTGTGTAGCTATACTCCTTGTTTTAAGTGTCTTGGCTATTGTATGTTAGAGTGTTACATGTATGAGATAAAGTAGTTCCTTATTAATAGTAAAAGGTTGGAATGCTTGTAATTGATGCATGTTGATGTTTTGGTTGATTGATCTTGCTATTGGGATTTTATTGGAATCTCATCCCCCATATGTAACCTAACATTTTAGGGACTGAATCATCAAAAGGGAGACTGCAAATCCAAGGATAAATATGGTAATGAACCAAGAGGAAACAATTATATTTGGTTATGTATAAGTATGTATGGTTAGTGTTGTAATCCCTAAGTAGGACACCAACTTGGAGCCACCTTTTTATTAAGTTCCCAAATGAATTTCTTCATGAAATTTTATATGCTTAAATTTCACATCATGAGCTTCAAATCAATAGGTAGCACATTGAAAATGGCCAACTATACAATTTTTAATGATTTTTCAAAGTTAAGGTCCAGAATCTAAAAAAAGAGTTTTTACCAAAAGGATAGAGATGACTTCCACAAAAACCTGATACTTTTTCAAATAGAATTGTGTTCACAAGATTATTTTTTCTTAAAAGAGAATTTAAAGAGCTTTCTATATAATTTTTAATCACTCCATTTCGATTTTTCTAGATTAAGTTATGATTTTCGAAAGTGGACCAGAAAACTGGATTTTTACCACATGAACAGTAAAAATCTAAAAATCAGCATTTTTTGAATATTTTTGAGCTCAAGACTATTCAATGTGGTCTAAAATGTCTCAAAATAAATTCTGAACCATATTAGAAGTAAGGTGTAAGACAAGTAATGAATGAGTTAGAGAGAATATGGGCATCAGAAGATTATAAGGCCAAGCGCGAGATTGCTAAAGCCAATCGAGCCTCAACCACAGGAGGCACTCAACACAAAGGTGGGAGTATTCCTAATACTGAGCATAAGAGGGGGCTGGCAAGAATTTATTTTCAAATTAAATTATTATTTATTTAATGCATGTGTAATACATACTTGTAAATAATTTCAGGCTCTAGAGTTAGGAAGAAACCCTACTGTGTTTGAACTATTCAAGAGGATGCATTTAAATGATAAAACTAGAAAATTTGTAGATCAGCAAGTGGAATTAGCTCATGTGAGTATATGTTTCTAATGTTTGTCATATTGGATCTGAACTTGTGCTGACAGTCGGAGGCCTGAGTAGTTGCAGTGTGTGTCTTGTTGAATGTTAGTCACATTAAATCATTTGGATTGTGTTGATTGTCGAAAGCTAACTAGTGCTAGGCGAAAATCTATTGCTTCTGACTTGTTGGAAGTTATAGAACTTATACACATGCTATTCTCCAATCTACTTTGCTTTGTTGCTGAACTTGGGTTACATTTGCATACTGTTCAATTTAATAGAATTGGTAAATGTCATCATTTGCTATAGAAATTAGCGAATTATGGTATCCTTTCTTATTCTTAGTGCAATTTTATTTTTGAAAATTGGTTTTTCTAAATATCACTCTTATTCCTTTAGATTTAACTTGTTCTGGATTTATTTTTTTGAAGTTGGGATTAAGTTGAAAAGGATCTTGCCTTAAATATAAATAAAGAAAAAAAAGCACATGAGGCATTCATATTTTGCTGCACCAATTTGCTAGAAGAAAAATTCATAGTTTTAAATTGAATAGGTCCTAAAATTCATTACTAGATCAACATGTGTTCTGGGATAACCTTCAACATGTATCATGGCATCAGATTCATTTTTTTTCCCCTTCCATCATACAAAAGTGGGATATTTTCATTTCTTTTTTTTTATTTATTATGGTTTTGCTTAACATAACTACTAAATTTTTATTATGTCATGATGAATTATTTCTTTTTTTAGTGATGCATGATTGTGAATTCTTATTTAAATAAAACATACACTTATCTCATATACTCCTATTACCTTTTGTTTTATAGGATGAGTTCATAAGGAGAAAGGCAGAATTAAGTTTTGAAAGAGGCTCTCCAAGTGTGCAATCTAATCAGGAAGAATTTAATATATGGTTAGAGATTATAGGTGGCATAAACAAGAAGGGCCGCATCTATGGATTTGGATATGAGGCAAATGATGATATTTGTGCTCCTCAGGGATCTTCTCCTTCCATTAACAGCACTAGCATCAATCCTAATGTTGAAATTGAATTACATACGAGGATAACAGAGCTTACACAGGAGAATCAACAAATTAAACAAGACTATGAAGAGATGAAAGAAAATTACAGCAAAATCAAGTCTACATTGGAGGGAATGGGAATTAGATTATCAGAGCCATCTAGCAGCAATATAAATTTAGAAAATGACAGTTGAGGGTCATTATTATTAGACAATTTGGGTTATTATTTATGCCTTTTAGTTGTTGACATTTGACATTTCATGTATCTAGGATTTGTGAAAGACTACATATTTTTAATTACAATATGCTTGATTTTCAACAAATTCAATTGCCTTTTGCTTCCTCTTGATAAACTAAATAATTAATCGAAATAAAACAGTATAATATAAGAAAACCAATAAAAAACAGAATTACTGGTGCAACATGGGAAATTAGTCACATAATTACTCAAGGAATGATCAGCCACGGATTTTCCCACAGAATTTTCCGTGGCTGATCTACCATGGAATATTCTGTCACAAATCTGTCAAAAATTACTGACAGAATTTTTATCAAAAATCTGTTAGAAATTACTGACGGAATTTCGGATTCCATTGCAAACGAAATTAGTGACGAAAAAATTTCTCATAGAATGAATTGCATCAAAAATACCGTCAGTAATCTCGTTCCGTCACAAATCTGTTAGAAATTCTGTTAGTAATTTTGTATTCTATTACTAATTCTGTGAGTAATTGGGTTTTTTTTTTTTGTGTAGTGTACTTTACGGAATTGCATATAACCAAAATATAACTAAAACATCAAATAAGACTCGATCACCAACTTTTTTATTACTTTAGCTTTTAACCTACTACACTCCTTTGATAACTACTCCCTTGCCCTTAGAGCCTCTTGCCCTAGCTATGTGTCACAAAAGAAAAGGGTGAAATTCTAAGAATCTTAATGATAACGTCAGTCTATCATACAATTATACAAAGCTCATAAACACATATAAAATAAGCCATGTTAATAGCACTTGCAACCAGGCATAAATAGCAATGCTCAAACAACATAGGCTTTGTAAACAAATACAGTTAGCGTTACTCATGCATCACATGCTTTGTAATGCTCATGATCATGACAATTAAATCAGCACAAGAAAACATTACATACTCATAACTGAATACAGCTCTACAAGCTTAATGCAAAGCAAATTTCACATACTTTTACCTGAGTACAACTCTATAAGCTACCAATTGTTCAACATAGAACATAGCAACTCTATATTCATTAAAAAATTTAGGCACTGTGACACAAACAGACATGTAAAACCATTGTGTAGGTATATGAAAGGGTACAAGTCACTACCTAAAGTCCTTTCTTCCAATTTACCTTCTCCAAATTTGTTATTTACTTGCTTTCTTGGTGAGCCTGGGTAAATATTAAATACTCAATTAGAAAACACTATTGCATATAAACTTCTCCCCTTCGATCACCACTTCGCCAACAACATACTTTTCTCTGCCTCCCGCATTTTCTCAAAGTCTCTCTTTGATTTCCTCTCAATTTACAGATGAAGAATATAAGGGTGAGGGGTGAGGAAAGTACCATTTTGGCCTTCTACATTTTTTTGTTTTCATTTTCATCTGTTTTCTATTTTTCTGAAATTCTAAAATAAATACAGAATTTATTAATGCTTTATATGGATTTTCCTTCTCCATTAGCTACTTTGACCCATAAAATAATTTCTCTAAAAATTTGGGTCAAAAATCAACTCCCAACTATTTTTCTTGAATTTCCCAAGAAAGTAGGTCCTATATCCCCAAAATTATCTTTATAATTATGTGGACTGTATTTTGAGGGATTTAAATCTTAGAAATTTTTCCAAAATATTTTCTCAATCATGCCTTGATTAAATGCACAAAATTTGGGATATTACATATGTCATGTATACAAAATTTTCTTAAATTTTAGGCCAGTTACATAACTCCCCAACATTTTGAAATGTAAATTTAAACCCTTTTTAACTATTAACATTAAACCTCAAACGGCTACTTTTTTAAATGCCTATTAAAGCAAGTTCTTTAGTTCCACATGATTGGATGATACTATTATCTTCTTCATATATTATGTCAATTTTTTTTATTTTTTCCTTATATAAAAGATAATATTTTTAAAGTTCTAAACTAAAATGAGTTTATTTACTAATTTTTTTTTTTTTACAATCTTATTAAATTCATTAGACTTTTGGCAAAGCATCAAGCACTTCTAAATGAAATCTTAATGAATTTAGTAAGACTATAGAAAATCAGAAAAGAAATTAGTAAATAAACACATTTTAGTTTAAAAACAAAAAATACTATTTTTTATCCAAGTAGAAAAATATTACTAATGAAATAATATATAAAGACAATAGGATCATCTAATCATGTGAAAGTAATGGATTCATTTTGATAGGCATTGGATGGGGGAAAAAGTATTGCTGGCCCAAAAAAAAAAAAAGATAGGGGAAAAAGTACTAGTAAGGGGTTTAATGTTGAGCATTAAAACTTTAAGGAGCTTAAATTTAAATTTTGAAATATCTGTAAAATTATATGCAACTATCCTAAAGTTCCAAGGGATTATTTTTTGGATTTTAGCATAAAAGTAAATGGGAAGTGTTTTTCACAATACTTTATACTTTGGTAGTTTTGCGTATATTTTTTTAAAGATAGGGAGATTTTTTTAGTAAATGTTATACAAAATGGAAGTCGGTGTATTTTACCTTTTTTTATTTGATTTACCCACATATACATTGTTATTCCAAATCTTGACCAATGGATAATATACAAAGCCAATGTTTGCTCTTTGTTTGGTTGTTACTCTTAACTCGTATCAGCCCTGCTTTCAAAATCATCAATCCTCACATAAACAAGCCATTCGAATCCAAAGTTGTCACCTTTGAGAATATCATTTGGAAAATATCTTTTCATTCCCAAAGTTTGAACATTGCATGCTCTAAAAAGCCAATCTTGGCTCTTCAGGAGTCACTAATGCACACAAACGTCATTTTATTTAAAATATATTTTAAAATTTCTTTTCACAGCTTAGATTCACATCCTCTATATATAGAATTACTCTTCCAAACCAGCTATGTGTGCTTTGTGAATATCTACATATAACTAAAGCAAATTAAAGATCATCAATGTCTGGCTTCAGTGAGAAGGAAGAGGTTTTGGTCAAAAGCTCATGGGAGGATTTAAACAAAAATTTTCCCGAATATAGTTTTTATTTCTTCACCCAGTAATTCTTTACCGCCATTCACAAGTCCCTTTAATTTCTTTTGATTTACTCAATATTTCTCCTTGATCTACATATATTGTTCTTTTTCATCATTTTTTGTTTTTGTTTTGGTTTGTTTAAATATAGGTTAGTGCAATCTGCACCAGCGGTGAAAGACTTGTTCCCTTTTTTGAAGGGTTCAAGTGAAGTTCCTAAAAATAATCCTCAGCTAGAAGCCCAAGCCTTGAAGGTTTTTAAGCTGGTAAGTTCATAAAAATGTCAAATCATTCAAGTGAAGCAAAGTTCTTCTTGGTAGAGAGAAATTTACTTCTTTTTGTTGCTTATATGCTTTGTCACTGAGAAAACTTTTTTGAATTCCGCAATATATAAAGCAAGGAAAAAAATTATACTTCTTCCGGTCCTTCATATAAAACTCATTTTTTAGTGTACACTATAAAATGGGTCTTTACAAAATGGTTCTTGCATTTAGAACCAGATAAGTACAACTATATAAATTGAATTTTCAATATTGATGAGCAAGAACAAACCTCCTTAGCTAATTTAACACAATGTTTGTGATTTGGAAATTACAGACTTTTGACTCAGCAATTCAACTGAAAGAGAAGGGACAAGTGGTGATAGCAGATCCAACATTAAAGCAATTGAGTTCTGTACATGTCCAGAAAGGAGTCGCTGAGCCCCATTTTGAGGTAACACAAACCAGTTAGAAATATTACTCTTTGACACAAAATATAGTTGAAAATTTTTTTTGTTTGTTTGTTCTGTTAGCTCAATGAATTAAATGAAGGTGATTTGAATTTCATTAGGTGGTGAAAGAGGCACTGCTTAAAACAGTGAAGGAAGCAGCAGGAGCAAAATGGAGTGAGGATTTGAACAATGCATGGGTTAAAGCATATGATGGGGTGGCAGCTTTAATTAAGAAGGGAATGAAATAAATATAGTGTTTCACACAATCCTCAAATAAGCTTTCATCTTATATGCGTATACCTCTTCAACCTTATACAAAAAAAAAAAAAATTATAAGTTATTGTCCCTATTATATGTTATGTATGAGCTCTTATATGAGCCAAGTATGAGAAGAAAATATACGAGAAAGAAACGTATGTGATCTTTATTTATGTGTGATATATATACTTTGCAAAAAGAATAAATACTGGTATTTGATCAGTTTTATCCCTAAATTCTAGTGTAAAAGTTATATATTGCCGTTTTATTTGAGATGGATAGCAGTTTTTGACATAAATCAAGTTTGAATTCTGATTCTTTCAATTTTAAACTTCAAAAAGGTTATTATAAATCAGATATGACATAGAATTTGTCATAATTGTGAATTCTAATAATTAAAAGTTATCAAAATGATGGGAATTGAAAAGGATAGAAAATGATTCCGAGGTGATTTGAAGATTAATATTAGGGCTGAGCAATGGGCGGGCTGGGCTGACCCGAAGGTTAGCCCATAGCCCGCCCATTTATTCATAAATGGGCATGGGCTAACCCATAACCGGTAGTAGCCCATTTAGCCCATATTAAATGGGCTACGGGGCAGCCCGTTTGGGCTGACCGGGTTATGGGGTAACCCATTTATTTTTTTAAATTTTTTTCAGTATAATTATTTTATATATGTAACCTTATGAAGCTGTCAATAAATTTTGCATGCCAAATAGCAAATCAAATATGAATAACATTAACCATATTCAATCACACAACCTCACTTAGATTCGCAAACAATTAAAGTCTGATAAAATCATAAAAATAGTCACCAATCATAAAGTCTCATAAACTTTGAAAGTTCCAACTTTTACCTAAAGGATAAAATAAAACTTAGACAAGTATGAAGGTTTGATAAAATATGACTGAGAAACAATATCAATTAAATGAAGAATAAAAATATTTTAAAAAACTTAAAACTTAAATGGGGGGTATGGGTAGCCCAATA